TTAAAGACTCCCTTGGCTCTTTTAACCCTTCCCTCTGCCTGTGTGCAATCCAGGCTTTTCATTGCAGTCACATAACACCAGGCAAAGGGACATAATCATACATGATGTTAAAGGGGGAGCAGGGCTTGTTATGAAGCACAGAAATGGAAATGTTAATAACTACTCACTTTATCTTGTAAAAGTTTAAGGTTCACGATTAAAGAATGGCAAGACACGAAAGAAACAGCAGCGTGTTGTTATGGAAGTAAATTAAATATTGAAGAAATGAGCTGTTCCTCTCCGTAAATATTTTGGTTGCAGTGGTATTTATCTCCCATGAACTAAAATGAAGGTAATATATCAGAGGAAGTCTCTGCCCACATGTAACAGGCTGTTTGTCCTGCACAGAACACCCATATCTGAATTCAAAACCCACTCCTGCAAAACTCAACATGCTCCCCCTCATTAAGCTTGGAATCTGTGTACCTGCTGCATTCTGAGTAGCTGCACACTTCCCAATCCTTAATGCACACATCCCAATCCCCAACACACACATCCCAATCCTTAACACACACATCCTCTTCATGAGCAAGGAAATATTATTATCCTGGTTTTACAAATGAGAATTCTAGGCACAGAGAGATTAAAGCTGAGCATTTCAAAGCATCCCAGTTAATTAAAATGACTGGAAAATGGGTGTCCAAATTGTTTAGATACCTTTGAAGTCTCAGAATAATTATATTGCTCAAGGTCACACAGGGAGTTTATGGCTGACCCACAACTTGAACCCAGATTTCCAGCATCCCACTCCAGCACCTTAATCACAAAGGCATCTTTGCTTTCCAATTTAATACTGGCCAGACCTGGTCCACATGCAAAGTGGTTCCCAATGGATGAAACCTGTCATTATGCCATATAATGTAGCCATCTATCTCTACCCTACAGGATAAACAGCAGTGCATTTAGGCATCTCCAAGTTCTTTAAGGTACATATCATTACAAAACACTTGGGAGGCAGGAAGAGCTATTTGAGAATTAGCACACAAGGACAGCGAGGGACTTTTCCAATGGCACATGGCTGAGCAGTTTGCTGTCTCTCCTGTCCTCAGTCTGGTGGCCCCATTCCTCTTTTTCCTGATGGCAGTGTTTGACCAGCAGCATTTCCTGTTAAACAGTTTTACCCACCAAAGCTCTCAGCCTGGCTCTGAATTCCACTACCTTTCATGACCTGACCCACTTGACACTACAGCACCAGTGATGCTGGGTTTTGCCATCAAGCTTGGTAAACTACAGCACAAAACAAACCCTCAAAGTTACTCAGAGCAGCACAGAGACTTCAGCAACAGAGCATATGGTGGAGCAGTCCTCTCCCAATGAAAAAAACTCAGAAAGGACCTGTTGGAGAGACCTCCCCACATAAAGCAGAATGACACCCACTGGCCTCCCACGCCTCTGGGATTGCTGCACATAAAAGGGCTGTACTTCACAAGCCAGTTTTGATATGCATTAAAAAACCTGGTCCCAATTTCTCCTGAGCATACACTCCAATTAAACACTCCTCTCATTTGGAGCTGCAAGTCAGAAAGCTGCATTTTCCAAATGCTGATTCCTATCATTGGCACAAAGTCTTCAGGCCTTGGTATGAACAGATGCAGTTACATGAAGCAAAACTTCCCGGATAGGATTCAGTCTCAGGTTCTCCCCAGACACACCAACACCCTCCAGGATGTGGAATGCAATGGAAGACAAAGATCAACATAAAACACACACACACCTAACACGCTGACTTTTTATCACGGAGGTTGCTAATTTCCCATGCTAAGAACAACCTTTGGAACCAAAATGAATTATGCGTCTCATTCTGAGTGCATCAAAGAGCAGACAGCCTTTTTAAAGGAGTCAAGATCACCTCAGCTGTGCTTTTGTTATCTAGCCCAAGGTTAAGGATTTGGCCTTGGGCTAACGATTGGCTCAGAAAACCAGGATCATGTAATGAGAGTTCCAGGAAGAGAGAAAAACCAAAGCTTGGTAAAGGCACACTCTTCAAAGTGTCCCAGTACTTGACCTTCTTTCCCTCCCCCCCTCAGATGAATGAGGTAAAGAAGAGAGGAACGGAGCCTGAAACTCTGAAGGAAGTACTCCCATACAGGAGGAACTGGAAAGACCTTTCCAGATTCTTCCCAGACACTCACAGAGAAAGGCCTGGCAACAAATTTTCCTCACCACTTCGATGGAAAAGGCGGCAGTAACCCACTGAGCTCAGCGGGCTCAAGGGCAGAAAGCTCTTGCAAGGGGCGACACCTGGTTTATTTCCTTTGATATAAAACAAAAGTTAAGCCGCTTCTACTTGAAAATTAAACATAAACATTAAAAAAAGGCTAAGACCCTCCAGCAGGCGAGAGCTGCAGTGGCTCCCTGCCAGCAGCGTGGCCTGCTGGGTTGTAGGGAGCTCTCTGCAAAATATGGATTTTCGGGGGTTTTCTAATGGGTTTTGGTTGGTTGGGTTTTTCTCTCAGGACATGCACACAGGAGTCACAGACCACTTTCTTAATTTTCGCTGCTGACAAAAGCCAGAAGGCTCCACCCACGCTCCCAACACCATTTTCCCAGGGCTTGGTCCCTCTCTCCAAGGAACTGGCAGTGGGCACGCTCCAGTAAGCCAGCAGGTGTGCAGGAGCTCTCTCTAAATGACTCTGCCCTCTAGGGTACATTTAGGTTATGTTTTCAAAGATGAAAATCTTTTCATCTGCAAACCTGGGAGACTTCTTTACCCAACACGTCAAGAAGTAGTTAACAATTAACTATTTCCAAAAAAAAAAAAAAAAAAAAAAAAAGGCAAAAAAAAATAATCACCAGACCAGGAAATATGAATCAATTAGTCTTTGATCCTCCCCTCAGTAATAACATCTAGAACATGGGTTACTGCTAATCCTAAGTAACCAAAAACGTTGATGAACTTTAAAAATACTAGTGGTTAAGAAAAGGAGAACTTCAGTTCTCAGGGTGGAATTCTGGGGCCTCTCCCCAGAGAACTCGAAGAAATTTTCTGTTTAAGAATCTCAGGCTCCCTGGTGTCCTCACGAGATTCCAGCTTTACAGTAACCCTGCTGTAAGTCTGTACACTGAAAGCACCATAATGACACTAGATTTGTCATTTGTACAACAGGAATAAAAGAGTAACAATAATGCCAGTATTCTGCAGAACGAAAGTGCTCATTTTTTCACTTAAAGCTACTGGGCCCACCTTTTATTTACAGTGCCAGCGCTGGGAAAACATCTTCCATGTGCATTAGGAATTGGTCCAATAGCAACAGCCTGTGACATCTTGTTGACACTATGGTGTCAACAAGAAGATCAGGATTCTTCATGAAAATGAACCAAAAAAGCTCTTAAAATGAGAATCTGCTTGTAAGTACGTTTTTTTCATTCAAAGTAAGAGAAAATGCAAGCAGAAAGGTTGTGTTAGAATTGTCCTAAAAGTAGAATAATTTAAACACAAAGCCAGAGTGATGTTTATAAGAAATCATACAAACTCTGGCCATCTTCCTAATTCCTAAGGAGTCAATAACTTCTTTGGTCTGTGAAGTCCCATATGAAATTATCAATAAGTCATGAGAAAAATGCAAAAGTCAAGTTTATCATGAAATGAATCATTGTTTCTGGCTGTAAAGCAGAGGCTTTTGGTGCAGTTGTAGTCAGATAGCCCTCCCCCCTTCCTCCTCCCATCACCACTGGCCTTGCAATTAAGCTTCAATATGCTTGTGTGTATATTATTGATGTGGAAACAGCTATTTCCATCACGCCGCAGACATTCTATACTTTTGAAGTCTGTGGTTACAGAGTCATTATTCCATACAACACTTTCCCATCACTGGGGTGTGCAGAATGCCATAAAAAGTGGTTTGTGCAAGTTCCAAGCTACTGGAGTTATGTCAATGGTTACCTTGAATCCATTATTTTCTGTCCGTGGTCACCCTGCCCTCTGAGGATTTGCTTTAATAAAAAGGACTGGATTGTCTGAGAACCAAGTGAGGAGAGCTGTGCTCATTTGCAGATCTGGTGGATATTTCCATCTTTTAATCTGCATATTGTTTCCAGGATGATGATGACAGTAATAATAATAGTAGTAGTAGTAATAATAAAAAATAATAATAATAATTTGCTTCTCTTTGTAGTGAAACTGCTGGAGTTGAAGGCTCTGTTTTAATAAGACGCACTGAATGAAACAGTGTCCTGCAGTGCAAGAAGTACATGTCAGCTCTCCACTGCCTTGGCATTGTAAGCCAAGCTACAGCACAATATTCATAATTTTCTTGGTGATCTCCCAGGAAAACCTTCTTAATTTAATCTCTAATGGGATTATCAGCCTCATTAAATTGTAAATCTTCCACAGTCCAGCCGTTGTGGGAACCTGAACTTTCGTAATGTTATCAATTCACTGCTCTGATCTTTCTACCTGAAGTCCCCTTAGAAGCTTTTAACGCTTTGAGCTTCAAAAGCTTGTGGAGTCCTTCTCCACTTCCCTCACCTACCACTTTTTCCCATGAAAATCTCTGCCTTTTTTTGAACTAAAACCACACAGATCTGCTTCTTCCCACCGCAGCCCTGACCCAGTGGCTCTGCTCTCATTTCTGTGTGGGCAGCCAAGCACATGTTGCAGAAGCCCCAGGTGTGAAGGGCAAACCCACCTCTGAGGAGACGAGAGCCAGGCTGGCCCACTGCAGATTCCCTACCCCTGGAGAAGTCCAAGAGCTCTCAGCCTCTGTTCATCCATCGAGGGCAGCACAAGCCCAGGCAGGTATTGCAGCCGAGTGCCTTCACAGCACTATGGAAATACAGATGCAAACGAGCTCTGGCCCTCAGACTTCTGGCAAGTTACAGACACAGTCCCTGGTGTTACGGGGTGTCTCCTGCTGCACCCAGGGGTGCAAGCCTCCAGACCTTCCCAAACTAAGATCCTGCTGGAGGCTGGGACAAACTGCCTCTGTAAAGGACACAGAACCAGGACAAAACCAGTGTACCTGCTTTTCTAAGTGACCACTGCTCAAGGCTCGCGGACGGAACGTTGCTAAATCCTGGAGGGCACTGACACGTGACTAGATTCCAAAAAGAGAGGAAACTCCACCTTAGGAAACCATTACTGCTTGTTGCAGGCAAGGCTGTCAGGAACACAGGTAAGGAAGGATTAGTACTGGAGAGACAGGAAAGAAGTAATCTTAAAATACTTTTGAATTCTTTTTGTGCCCAAGCAAGGCAAAAGTAGTAGACACACACACAGTTACTTTGGCACACATCTGCAAAATCTCTTAGGAGAAATAAACAAAAAAATTTGGAGTACAGCAGAGTAAGGTTATGTTCTGAAGGAGCTGGGACTTCTTCCTTGTATACAGTAGTCTAACAAAATAAAACACTGTTGCTTGTATCCAACACACTCCTTAAGGCAGTAACACGTACAGTCCAAGTGTCCTTCTGAACTTAGCTTCTTGTTTCTTTCCTATGTAACTAAAAACCAAAGTGGTTTGTGCCTGTAACAATCTTTAAAAATACATTTTAATGCCTTTGGCTTTTCATCATTATTTTGAGCAGCTTAAGTCAACTGGAACAAGACTTGTGGTTCTCGTGTTGTAAGATCACTACATATCAAGATCTCACAGCAGCAGTCTGCCCTACCAAAAGGGGTTGCCTTAATGTAAAGGAGAAGCTAAACATTCCAGATCCATAATTAGATAAATAATACTTCAGGCAAGATATGGCACCTTTAAAAGTGCCTTTTCAGTCTTGGATTTTTCTCTGCTTGTTACTACAGAAACCATCTAGCAACCAAAATCTAACACAGACTCCACCCAAAACAGAGAAAAACAATATAGGCAGAGTAGGCTTTTTCTCCCCCTTTTTCCCCCCCTTCCCCCTCCTTTTTTTTTTTTTTCTTTGAAAGGGTGGGTGAGTGCTAAGGAAAAGTATCTTACTGTGCAAAGGAGAGGAGCATTTTGCATGCAGTTGAAACAGTAAAGCTCTGATTACAGATGGCAGCAATGAAAGCAGGAATGAGTAATGAGCAATGAGAAATGCGTAATGCGGGATGAGGATATAATTTCCACACATCGGCTAAAGAAAGGTTTACACTCTTAAGCAATAAAAACAAACCATTAAGCCAGACCTGCACTGTCAGGAAGTATAAAACAGTTCTTGAAACTCTGCAGTTACTATACAAAAGCTTTTCATAAACTTTTGTTTCCTGATCTTCATAAAACATTAACATCAAGCTGCCATATGGCAATTAGCTGCCTCCTGAAATCAATAAAAAAACAACCAAAAAACCCCCCCAAAAATCTACAGTTTAGGAATAGCTATACAATAAAATAGTGCAATAATTATCCTCCTCTAATAGTGTAGCAAAGTGAGTCTAGTATAAATGCAGTCCAGATGAGCTCCTTCTCCAAAGCTGAGAGTACAATAAATCATGTTCCTCTCCAAGCCTCACGGTATGGATGTGAGATCTCAGCTGCCTGGCAGGGGGGAGCAGGTGATGGTCTGTGGCCACCCAAACCCCACAGGAGCAGGAAAGGCCTGGTGCCTGGTTGTGGTGAGCCCAGGTGAGCAGCAGAGCAGCCCCTGCTCGCTGGGAATGGGCAATGCTCTCGGGAGAGCTTACCTCAGCTGACGATCCTCCCGCGTCATTTTTTATGGTGCTGACCACAGAAGTCCAACTGAATTCTGCGCAAAAATTATCAAGCCACTCGACAAAGCTGCTACTGACTCTCAAAAGGACAAGGAGAGATGCTGATCACATTTGTGTTTAGAGAGATGCTTATCTGAAATGCACAAAGGGTGACATTATCTATCACAATCTCTGCCTAGATTATATAAGTGCCTAGAAGCAAAATGTTTAGGGGCTATAAGGTAACAAAGGCAGTTTTGCCTTCAAAACCTTTTGCTTTTTCTCCTCTTAAGAGGAAAAAAAAAGCACATTTCTCCTTGTAGATTACTATAACACTAGTAAGTACTAAATAACTGAAGTAAGTACTGGAGTGCTGTGGTGACAGCATACCATTAGTATTTAGCATTATTTAGCAGTCATTACCAGACTTTTAAAAGATGTCAGAAAGCCCAAACCTTTGAGAAGGGCTGACCAATCATCAGCCCTACCTAAAAGGATTCAGGACCCCAACTCATCTCTAAGAGAATTTTCTATTACTCATCTGTGAAAGTTTGTTCTGTTTCTTTTACCTTAAATCCTAAACAAAGTCTTTAGTGCAGCACTCTCAAGTCTCCAATGTAGAGAGCGAGGCTAAAGGTTAAGGACTTAAAGATACATTACAAAACTGATTCTGCAGCAATGTACTGACGTGCTGAGCCTGACACAATGCATGTTTCCTCCTCAAAATCAGCGTGGAACTGACGATTCTGTGACTAACACTACTCAGCTACAGAAATGCTTACGAGAGCAGGTCTTAATAGGTTTACAACTCTACATTGGCTTCACAGTGTATTTGACTAAGGATGAGAATCTTTGTCAAGCAACAGGAGGTTTAACTTTGCAAGGAATGCAGCATCACGCCATGACCAGCTACTGCTCATGCATAGACAAGTGCCACAGCCAATTTTTTGGAAACAAGATTAGCACCAACGTGTTCTCATGCCTTACAGGACAAGTCAAGCAGTCACCACTCTGTAAAAAGCCTCCCTCGGTCTCGTTACACGTGAAGGAGCTGTGAAACTTGAGCCTTGTAACACTGGAGTTGAGGATCTGGTTGGAAGTGCTGTGGGTTCTTTACAGTTTTCAGCGGGTTTGGGATCATACCTTCCCTGCTCATCATCACATTTTCAGCACTTTACACCCAGCTTTGGCAGGCTTAGGTTTTACAGTGCACTAACACAGCTGTGACTTGACTGGCACAGCCACACACCACAATGAACAAATTCTCACATCCTGGGACCCACGCCCTTGCCAAAGCAACAGCCATAAACTCATCCATCACCAGGAAAGGTGGAAGCAAGCAAAAGGCAAACTAAACTTCCCCACTAAAAATATTAGCCACAAGAATGGCACCAGAAAAACCACCTGGAGGTTGTCCACTCAGTCAACTCATGGGCTACTATGTAGTATCAGCATGACCAACATCAGCTACCTCTCAAAAACAAGCAGAGCCAAACTGCAGCGTGGTGGACTGTTCTCTAATTGCTGTTGAAAATACTGCTGGTACAAAGAAATACATAAGTTTTTATCTCGCCACAGCAGCCTACAGTCTAAGGTATTTTTAAGCTCACAAGATAAAAAGTGGAGGCAGCCAACAGGAAATCAGATTTTCTCTCCTATCCTCTGTACCCACTGATTTTTGTAATGATTATTAGCAGTAGAGAGCTGTTCTACAAGAAGACCTGCTGATCAAGTTAGCCTTTCTGATCATCTCATCTGTTTAGTACCTTCACTGCAGCCCAGATGACTCTGGTTAAAAAAAAAAAAAAAAAAAAAAAAGGAAATATTCTGGGGAGAGTCATGAGAAAGTAAAGGGTTTTGTTAACAAGAAGTAAGAGGCCCAAATCAGAGATCCCCAGAGTTGACTTAGAGAGGTCTCTAAAAGGCCCACTGCACACATGGCTTTAGGACTTGCTGCCTCAGTTCACCAAGCCCAGAAGTGGATCCACACCAGAGCTCAAGGGGATGACCAAGGAGCCCATTTAAGCCACTTTCCCCCTCTGCTATTTCAGCTCAGCTTCCCCAGTGACCTGACTGCCAGACCAGGCTTGTACCACACAACAGGCACCGTCAGGAGCAGCTTTGATGCTGCATTTGCCAACTGCAAATTACACCTTTGCCCCTCGCAGGAAGGATTTAAAAAGCAAAAAAGATGCAACCACAAGTTGCTCTTGTGATGGCTGCACAAGTGAACTGTTTTTTTTATAGGCTGGACTTTTCAGAAAGAAATATCAGAGTTCTATGATTTATTATCTGCAATAGATTTAAACATTCGGGAAGGAAAAAAAAAAAGTTTCGAACACAAAACCCTGGAAATGAAGAGATGCTGATCTGCCAAAGAGCAAACCCATCAGCTGAGGTTAGAGAGGAGGCTGCACATGACAAGAGCTCACTGTATGCAGGGCAAAAATTGCAGATTAACTTCACTATAACACTCCACAGAAGTGAGCTCTCCTCTGAGGTGAGGAAGTATGCAATGCTTTTCCAACTGTTAAAGACAAGGGCTGGTACAAATAAGGTTAAGTATCCCTCTTCAGCATAGATAATCACAGAAAAAAAGGATGACATTTTAGCTTTTATTATTTTATATTTGGCCAGGACTTTTAAAGGAAGGACTTTTAAAGGAAACATCAAACATTCACTTTTCTGTAGGTCTAGAAAGGATTCAGACTTCCCCCACCCCCGCCTCCCATAGGATTTCTATTGGCCCTTCTTATATTCACGCTGCAAATTAGTTGGGAATAGCAGTATTTATACTAGATCAGCAACGTCTGGTTCTTATCCAAATGTTCCACCTAAAGAGGATGCCAGTTCTCATGGATTGGACAGCCCACCCTGCAGCATTCCTGAGAATTGTACAATATAATCTTGAAAGTCAGCAGAGTGGATTATCCACTTTTTTCTGGACTTGAACTTGTGACCTTAACAGTAGCACAGCAGAAAGCAAATGTGCTATGCACTTTGCCATAGTAACCTTCCACGTATTCTTTTCAACTTAAATACACACAATTGAAACAGCTACAATTTTGGAAAATTATGTACAAACCCTATATTTTTTTCTTTTTTGATTACATATAAATACAAATTAGCTATTCTTCTAAAAAGTGGTTATAATAGTAAATAAATACAAAATAAGAATCTGACCATTATACTTCATGTGCTGGGGTTAAACCCATATAAAATGTACAACTAAAATACATTTAAAATCTTTAAAGGAATATTTCTCTGATTAAAATATTTGTTTTCCCAACTTTTTCGTAGACATAAATATATTTTCAAAATAGTTGTGTTTTTTTTTCTTTCCATTTCATTACATAAATAAAGTCTTCATTGGGAAATATTAAAGTGTCAGCTATTTCTTTTTTTTTTTTTTTTTTTTTTTGCATTTGTCTAATATATTTGCTGTGTCAGCGGCACCCACAACCCTCCACGACCATATCTTGGTAGTTCTTTAATACAACTTTTTCATTTTCATCAAGGTAGAGCATGGAAATAGCACTCAGTTCTGTCGGCACACAGCAAGCCTTGGGGATTTTGGAATTCACTGAATTGACCAAAGTCTGAACAATGGCATGGTTTGTTGAGTTTAGATGGTCTGCCAGTGGAAAAGGACATTCCCCATGGCAGTAAAAGGCACTATACCCCGGCGGGGCCACAATCCAGTCATTCCACCCCACATCATTGAAGTCCACATATAACGGATGCCTTTTGCAACTGTATTTGTGGCGTTTACGCTGTTTGTGTTTCGCTTGACGCTTTTCTCTTTTATGGAGCGGGTGTCCCTTGCCATCATGCCCAAACGTTACTAACAATGGCCTGAGCTGAGACCAGCTATCTTCATCCTGATGTAAAGACCTGCTAATCCTAACGTGCCTCTTGGAGGCACTGTTCTCTTTGTCCAAGTGAACCACCTCTACCACAAACCCATGATTAGGTTGTCCATGTGCAATCCACCTCAAAACAGCGGGCGTTACATCAAAACTTTCCCATTTACTTGCATTATGATGCACCAACCTGGTGTCCAAAAGTCTTGTGACAGGGTCCTTAGAGGTGGCTGTGGCTGGCTTTATAATTTCATAAATATTAATACGGTGATGGTAGCTGCTGTTGTTCTCAAAGGCTCCGTGCACCTGTTGCCGAAAAATCTGGAGTTCAGCTGAGGTGATAGACTCCTCGTTAGGGATGGAAGTTAAATTAAAGAAGAAACGCCGTGATGTTTTCCCACTCGTTTCTGGCAGTTCTTCCAAAACTTCTAATGTGATTAAACAGGGAAAATAAAAAAAAAATAAAAAAAAAAAGAGAGAGAAAAGGAAAAAAAATCAGGAACTGAGACAAGCAACCAAACCCCCTCAAGACAAGCTGCTGTTGGCAGCCTCCAAATGACAGCTAACACATGTGGCACACAAGAACTGAAAGACTTTCCAGCAGAAAATATCGTCACCCTTGTCTTTCTGTTTGTTTTACAAGCACATATAGCATCAAGTCAAAAATGCTCCATTCATTGTTACACATTTGGATTGAATACTGGTGCTCTTTGCGTTCCACGTGCTTATCATAAGTGGCAAGAAATTTTGAATTAATTTGGAATTCAAGGATGGGGAGAGAAAACACAAGCCCTATAGTTAGTGGGGAACCATTAAGAACAGTCGAGGACTTTGGGTAACTATTGCATTTCTGCTTTTTTCAAGAATACAGCTCTAACATCAATCCCTTAAACTCTATTCTGAAAAACATTACTCTGCAATTTAGGTGACTTACAAAGCTAAACTTACGGATTTTTGTATCTTTAGTTAGAGACTGTGAACTCAGCATCTGTAATGGTACTTTACAAAGTACACCCTAGTATTTACCCAAAGGAGCCATAAAGAACAGCAGGAAGATTCAACTACTAAAAAAAAAAAAAAAAGAGGTGGATGGTAAAGGGATAACAAAAGTCACCTCCAAACAACAAGTTTTCAAAACCACCACAAACAAAAATTCCAGAAGTCACCAAACCCCAGGCCATTCTCACTTTTGAGTCAACAAATTACTGAATGGAGCTCCAGAGGGAGTAAAACATACCTAGGGCTGCTAAGAAGTACATTGTTGCTACAGACATTGAAGAA